AGGGGCGCTGGCTGCCCGGGCTCCCCGCAGCATCCTTTGGACCAGCTGCTCGCAGCGCTCCTGCACCGCGCTAATTAGGTCAGAGAACCTCTCGCACCGCTCCGCGCCCGCTAATTGCGGTTTCGCCACCTTCCACCCACCCAAGCGGGAGATGAAGCACCCAGACACCCGCTGGCCCCCCCGTGGGCTGCAGGCAGGGCCCTGCATGGGGCCGGAAGGTCGGATCTCGCACACTGTTGTAGCGGAGAAGTGGAACAGGAGGAGGAGAAGGGTTGGGAAGGAGAACAGCTCCGTGCCGATTGTCCCCGGTTCTCCCAGGGTAAAAGTTAAAGCTGGCTTCGTTGTGCTGTTTCACACTTACTCTTCACTCCTGGCTTTTCCCCCCAAAGAATAAGATGGAGAAGATGTTTGTGTGCCATCTAGTCTATTTCCTTCTGATAATTAGGAGAAAAAAGGCAAGTAAATAAGGGGCAGCGCAAAGATCTGTATTATTGCAAACTTTTACAGTAATCTGGAAAAACCTGCTACAGTCTGTTTTTAGAGTGGGCTTATTTATGGCAACTATAATGAGAGGATGTTTCTGAGGCTTAGAATAAAAATGATCTTTCTGAAGCCTTTCCATATTTTGAGTGCCATTTTAGCAAAAAGAAATAGCCAGACTACAGATAGCATTCATGTCCTTGCACCTTCCTCATAGAGTTAAGCACAGTGTTTCAAACCACCTTCTATACGCATGTTGAGGTAAGCACAGCAAGTTTTGAGATGTCTAATTTGAATAAATTGCAGAGAAAAAGCTACTACCATCTCTTAAAAGGCAGAGATAGCAAAGCTGTCTTAGCTCCACTTCTGCGTGTAGAGCTGTACCAAGTAGCAAAGAGGAAAATTATTTAATGGGAATACTTTCAGCAGAAATTAATGTCAAGAGAGGATTTTGCTAGGGCAGCCCATCAGCAGCTCTCACTGGAGATGATGCGTATGAGTCCATCTATGCTGAAGCAGCTGCAGGCATCCTTACAGAAATGCAAAACGATTTTCTCAATATACACATAACAAAATGTGTTTTCAGAGAAAGAAAGAATGGAATTAGTGTCTCAGTACAGAGCTGAAGTGGAGGTAATCACATTATCTTCTATTTCGCGTCTCTCTCTCTCCAGTATCAAGGTAAAGGATCGTGGTTGGTTTTGTCAGGACTTGGAATAAAAACTTTTTTTAAGGAATATTGAAAAGCTTTCAGAAGTTTTCCAGTTGGAAACCTTTTGTTTCACTTCTGTACTGCGTGTTGGTGTGTGCCAGTTGTGAGCTGGGAAACAATGTGGAAATGTAAGAGCGGAAAACATGGTGGTTCTGAAACAAGTTCAGAATCCATAACCAGTATTTCAAACTGCTTCTTTTAGACTCTCTTCCTGCAGATTCTATTATAAAATACTCTAGGTTTTGAGAAAATATTTTTGCACATTTTGCAGGTTTTTTCATTGTAACTTTATGAAGCATCCCTGATGAAAATGCAGGTCTGTATGTGTAAACGCCGTGCCCGTGTACCCACAATGCTTCCTAAGCCCTGCTCTGCAGGATGGTTTTGCATGGCACACAAACATCTGCACACCCACACAGCCTAGCTGTGAAGAGTTTAAGCTGTGTGAGGAACATATGGCTGGACTTACTTATCTTCTGCTCCTTTGCCAGCCAGTAATCAGAAGCTGGACGATCTACCATGTGTGTAAGCAAGACAGCATTGTTCTTTCTCTCCTTTTAGAACTAATCTATGTAAGAAGTAGCAATTTTTTCTCCAGTTTCTAAAGTTTTGTTCAGCTAAGCCTTTGGTCCCAGGTACTTCGGAATTTTAAGATGTTTAAGTGACACTTGCATTTAAGTTACTACATTGAAACTGGAGTGTGGCACAAACTTTAGTATTTGGGAGGCAGTACAAACAGAATGGCCTGATATATTGGTGAATTTTGAAAGCTTTTCAAGTCCAGAGTTTATATTATTAACTTGATTAGCATATTTAGGAGAATAAAAACATTAGCCCCAAATGCAACCTGCAGCAAACAGTTGGGTACGTTTACCTCCATCCTCTAAAAAATGGCATGAAAAGGTAAGGCTCACTGATAAAAGATGCTGTCTGGATCTTAAGGTTCTCTAGAAGTTAGTTAATTTTGTTTTGTTTGAGATTAGTAACTGTCTAGCTGTTCACTCCAGCTAAGGACTAATATAGTTGCCAAGCTCCTTGCTGTTAGACCCAGTGGCGCAGTCACAGCTGTGCTCAGGGACATAACCAGAAGGTTTGTGGGTGGAGAGCTCTCCATCCAGAGGCACTGGTCAGTCAAAAAGGATGTCGCTTTTCTTTGTAAACCTCTCTGGCTATTAATCTTGTGTTGGCCTTTTAAACCCCAAGTTTAGGACTTGCCATTGATTTCAAGCTCATCTGGATGGTGTGGGTGAAATGATCCAGCCCTGTGCCCATGGCAGCTGTGCCAGCTCGGAGCAGGGGATGGAGAAGGGAGTGCTCCTGCCAGAAGCATGGCTGGAGTGGGTGTGGAGGAGCCAGGAGCTGCTGCACCTTTCCCTGGGGAGAGCTGTCCCTGCAGAGGAAGGGGGATAATTTGTAGCAGTGTGTGTCCTTATAGCTGCATCAGTATAGCAGTTAGGGTGAAAAGATCTCTCTAGCTGTGCCACAAATACACAGAGATCCGAAAGAAGGGCCTATGGGCACGTCTTCAAGACAGAAAGCTGCCCAGCAAGGCCTGGTGTGCTCCCTTCTTTGAAGAATTTGGACAAGGGGATTGTGCTCGGCTTGGCTGAGTCTTTCCTTCCTGCCTTGACGCAGGTGTTTTACCTCACCACATCAGGGCTTGGCTGAACACCTCAGATGGGGGTTTCCAACATGGTTTTAGGAAACACGCTCAGCGATGGTGGAAGCAGCTCCTTGCTCTTGGGAAACATCCCTGCCCTTCTTTGAAACATTCTGAGAAGACCTGGTAGCCTGCACATCACTTGGGAGCCTCTGGGGTGAGAAATATCTTTGCCTGCTCCTGGGGTGCATTGGAGAGCCTCAGACTGTGGGGATGGGATTCAGGGTAGCCCAGCAGCCCACAGGGATCGTGGCAGGGGACCTGTCGTGTGTTATCCTACCAGCTGCTCTTGCAGGTGCCGGGTTACGTCTACATAAGGTATGAAATATAATTGAAAGGATTGTTCCACAAAGTGATGTAACGATGGCAGAGCACATGCTGAACAAACACACATAAGGATGTTGCTGAGTGTAACGTCGCAGCCAGCTTGCTGCTTAGCTGATGGAATCACTATTTCATATTTATGCTCATTTGGGAGATCTATAAATATATAAAAGAAAAAAATCGTAATCAGGCAGCTGTAGATGAGTTTTACTAATCCACAAATTCATTATTCAAGCATCTAAAAATACCTGGTCCTTGCGGAAAGTAGAGAATGATGCTACAGGAGAGGGAGAAGTGGCTGTTACTGGTGATGTCTCATTTACATGGAAAATTGTGGATGCAGTATGATTACAGCCAAGATTTCCCCCCTTAATTCAAGTGGCATACAGTGTGGGTATTTAATTTTATGTAAGTAGGCAGATCAGAAAGTACAGAAGTGCCTAATGGTAATATTTCTCATCAGCTCAATTGCCCCGGGCCAGAGGGGCTGGGAGGCCCTGATGTATCCAAACGAGCTTTGCAGAGTTACAGTTCTTAAAGCTCTCTTCATCGACGTCAGAGCAATGATAAGTAAATGTGAATTCAGATGTCCTAGTAATGCTTGATAAAGCATGTTAGTGAAGGTGAAAAGTGACAGCCAAACCCAGAAATATTCTCAAGAAAGAAAATTCACCACAATGTGGTTGGCGGTGGGAGGAAGAAATTACGGTACCGTGACTGTCCCCAGATGGAATCAGCAAATTCTGTTGTGTGTGTGTGTGTTTTTAGGGTCGTTCAATAGAAGAAAAAGAAATTCCCTCTACGTAACTGTGACTCTCCTCATTGTGTCAGTATTAATTCTAACGGTGGGCCTAGCTGCTACAACAAGAACCCAAAATGTGACTGTTGGAGGTTATTACCCAGGGGTTATTGTAAGTATAGAACTCCTAGGTAGGTCTAGAAAACTTATTGCCTACAAAGTCCCTTGTAATGCTGCGAATGTTTTAAAGGGTGATCTTGTCCTGAATATTGTGCTCAGCTACTTCATTGCCATTTGATTTATTTGTTTTATTATTATTTTGCACCTACTGCTCATTCCCATGCAAAAATCCCAACCACGTGGCAGCCCTCTCTGAGCTTAGATAATAACACACTTTCGAGCTGTGAGACAGATCAATAGGTCTTATGTCGGTCAAAGCAACCTTAGAGCTTCTTTGTTTTTATACCTCACATTAACCCCGGGCAGAAGTAAAGCAAAGAAGGACCATAGGTGCCAAGTGCTGAGAGACCAGGTCTTGAAATACTGTTCACATGGACTTGTGGTCGTAAAGTTCACTTGCAGAAGTGTTTAATTTGGAGTCCCTGGGTGAGGAGAAGCACGTTAGCACGCTGTGGCAGCTTGCCAGGTGAGCATGCACATTAAAGCAGCTAGCACATCCATTTCTTCTTTTTTGTTATCAACGGATGCCAGTGGGAAAGGACAATCCTGTAGCTTCAGATAGGTTAATTTAGAGAAGACCACTGGTGCCCAGCCTTCTTGACAGCAGACGTGTAACCTGCAGAAGCATAAAGGGCAAGTACATCGTGCCGTTCCCTGCATGAGCAGAGGTCTAAGACGAGCTGGAAAGCAAGTCCTGGTCTGTTCCTGTCTGAGACATGCTCAAAAAGAAGCACAGAACAACTGAGCTGCAGAAGTAGGTGTCTTGGTAGGTGGAGTGTAACTGCAGCCCCCCAGCTAGAGGCTCCTGGTGTAACAGCTGAGCAGTGCTGTGCATTCTTGTTTGGAGACTTAATGCCAGTCCAAATAACTAGGTAGAGACCTGTTCTTGCCTTGTTATCGTTTGATTTGTTTGCCATGCATTGCTGATCTCGGGGAGGTTTATAATTCTCTGTGGATAAGCTCTTCTAGGACTGAAGAAAGTCCCTTTACAGCTATTAGTATGGAATGTTGTTACAGACTGTGTTAGGTCTCCTTGGTGGTTTTCTGGCTTGTCCCGGTAACTCCTGCATTTAGTCCTGATCTTTTTTTAACGAGAAGTCTAGAAGGAAGGTGTTGAGAAAGGTGACAGGCTGGCTTCAAACTCTCCACACTTAGCCTACGCTCTGTCAGCCTGAGTTGAACCTCGTGCTTCAGAGCAGGCCCTGCAGACTGACGCAGATGGGTAGAGCCTGTTGTTCACATCCCCTTGACATCTTCTGTGCTATTTATGCTCAGGAACATCAGCAACACTTATGCTTTTGTAAGACGCAGTCTACTCAAGGAATTAATGAATTCCTAGACCTGGGGAGGCTGTTGAGTTACTTTATTCAGGAGCACAGTTTGTGTTTGTCACCATATTCATCCTCATTAATCTGCTGTGTAGAAATGCGTGATGACCTCACCTGTGTCCCTGCACAGGAGAACATTTCAGTGTGGTGATGGATGCTTCAGCAGGTGCTTAAAATAGCTGATGTTTCGTAACAAGCTGGGATTTCTCCCTTTACTGTGGAGAAAGGGCTTGCTGTGGTGCAGGAGTACTTCGTGAGTTGTCCTCGAGCAGGTGCCTTCCACAGCCCCGAAGCAGCAGCATCTTGCAGGTCTTGTCATCCAGAACTTGACACAAATGTTAGGCCTGTGTGCATCTCCATCAGGGGTTTCTGTACCCTGAGTACCCTCCATTGGTAAGGAATAGAGCAGCAGTGTCTTCATGTGCTGGGTGACTTCCCCATGCGTGGACCAGATCCATGGATAGGATCATCTCGTGTGACATCAGATGTCTCATCAGTGCCGTGCCTAACACACCGTTCTTTCCTCCTTTAACTTGTGTCTCTTGGGCAAACACCTCTTGTACAGGGAGGAGACATGCAAAGAAGTGGCTGTTTGATGAGGGGGTTTATCTTCCCAGGCCTCTGCTCCCGAGGAAGGACAGAACAAGGCACTGAAGATCTTCCCTGCATCAGTGGGACTTTGTTTGGTTGGGGTTTTGTTGGATTTTTTTCCCCAGACAGCCCAATTCCTCATTGACACAACTGGAGGAGTTGAAGCAGAGGTTGCAGTAACCTGTCCTGTACTCAGGCTGCCTTCACCCTCCTCCATGATCACCGACACCTTTGCAGCTACATCTGTGAACACCCTGGCTGTGCCTCTATAAGAAATATCCTGCCTGTGGCTGGAAGACTGACCTGGGCCTGGGAAGCCCAGAGTAACAGTGATGTTCAGCAGACAGAAGTAATGATCAGGTGCAGAGGGCAAGCACCCTTATGGAAGTGAGGCTCTCTGAGATACATGTGTTGCCTCCAGGTTATACCAGCTTCAAGCATCTGTGTAAATGATTGACCTTTCTTAGGCTTTAACTGGCAAACCTCTGTAACAGTTTCTTGTCAAGCGTGCTGGCCTGGGGCTTCACTCTGGAAAAGCACATTGATTTTGTGTCCTGTCCTTTTAGACAGATGTCCCAGGGAAACATATCCATCAGCAAATAAGAAATACAGTTGATGCAGATTACTGAGATTTCTTTGTGCCATCTGTAGAAGAATTAGTGGTTTTCATATTGGTGCAATAAGAATTCCTGTTAATTAACGAGAATCCACTGATTTATTTGATCTTCACATGTTGGATGTACAGACTTGCTCTAATTTCTTCTTTTTGAATTATCTTCCGTATTTCACCTTTTGGAGGAAATTAACACTATTAAATGTGTTGGCTCAAGCTCAAAGGGCAGAGAACATTTTTCTTAAGCATTTGCCTTAGGTGTGTGTTGCCACACAACTTCTTGAGCAAAGTAAAAAGCCAAGAAGCAGTAGCAGATCAGTTTGGGGAGGTTCAGCGGTGCCCCTGGCTCTCTGCCCTGCCTACCGGCTGCCCCAGTGTTAAGCAGCACCCGGCTTTGTTGCTGTGCTTCCTGCTGTGGTAGTTTGTCCCTGATGTGGGGACAGCAGTCTCGAAGAGCCCAGAGTGGAATGCAGGCAGCCAGGAAGCTTTAAGCCCTGCCATTTGAGCCAGCAGGCCTTGCTGCCCACGGCACTGCACCAAATGTTTCTGGGCTTAAGCAGAGCGGAGGAAGATTTAAGCCCAAATTTTCGTCACTTTTGTGTCTGCTAATCTCTGCATGTGCCTCTGCTTGTTAATACTGGATTTATTAAACCGTTGGTTTCTATTCTTGGATCCAGGTTAGTTGACTCATTCTTGAATCACTGCAGCTTGTCTTGCGCTTTATTCTGCTTCCTTGGGAGTTAGCCAGTTATTTGGCATTCTCACCCAGGTCTTCACTGTCTCCCTAGTTTATTGACTAGATTTTTACCTCCTTCATATGACCACTCCAGCTGTAGGACTTCTCTGGCATTTCTCATTTTGCCAGCCTTTAGAAGCAGAGTTGGATATGCTCTACATTGATCAAAGACCTTTTCGGTGTGGCACAGAAGTACTTCTGCATCACCCCCCATAGTCTGTGATTCCTGGTTGAAGTCCCTGTTTCTGGCTTGGCTGAGGTCTGTTCTGTCCTAGAAACTTCTGTTTAGTGTAGCTAAATAGCTTAAGGCTATGGAGAAAGGAGGTGGGAAATTGCACTCCTGGCTGACTTCACCAAGCTGAAATAAGAACAGTGTTGTCAGTTATGGATGGCATCAAGAAAAGATGCTTTTGCTGGAGTAGCTTGTTCTGTGGGCTGGGCTGGCAGGAGCTCTTCTGGTAGAAGACCCTGGTTGATGCATCCCCACCCCTGGAAGTGAGGAAAGAGTAGAAGGCAGCAGAAAACTGCTAAATCTTCCCAAGTATAATTCTCCCTTATTCCATACTTCATATCCAGAAACTATCTGAGTTGAAAACTCAGTTGATTGCTCACACCCTTGGTAAGGTTACAAAAGCCTGGTCCTGCAGTTGCTAGTGATGTAGTCCTGCTAGGTTTGTATCTGGAGGCTCCTGAGCGTTCGTAGGGCTGTTCAAGACTGCAATGCATATCCTCATCCACCAGCCATTTCTCAGCATCACTGGGAAGGGGATAGAATTCAGAACTCATCCTTTTGGTTTCCACACGCGCTTTTAGTGTCATATAAGGGATACACTTGATAGCTCCTACTAGTGAGAGACTTCACTGATTCCTTGCTGAAGGAAGAGTGCTCACACATCCCCAGTATGTTCTTTTGCTGCTTCTGGATTTGATTGTGTTCTGTCTGTATGTAAAATACGTTGTATATTCTCCTGATATAAATGCTAACAATATGTTGTTTTTCAGCTTGGTTTTGGGTCGTTTCTTGGAATAATTGGTTCAAACTTGATAGAAAACAAAAGGCAAATGGTAAGTTCATTATAAAAACTTCTTTTTAAAAAACTGACAGTAACTCGAATTTTGCATGTAAAGAGTGTTACTGTTTTCCTGACTCTTCCAGGGTAGTGTTGCTTATCTCTTGAGAGCTGGAGATGGCTTCCAGCAGCCCAGGAGAACTATTAAGCCTGATATTTTTAAATTAAGAGAAAAGCTGAGGGAAGCACAAAGTGACTCTACCCAGTCTCATTGAACTCGATGGGATTTTGTTTTAAAGGATTTGAAATTGAGTGTTCGGAGTTTTCAAGGTTGTGCTTCACAGACTCGTGCCCAGTGCTTTTCCATGTGGTGGTCATGTACAGTGGTACATGATGTGGTGAATAACATGAGCATAATACATTTATTTGAAATCTTTTAAAGTAGATTCGTAGAGGCCTGGGGCTCTGCAAAAACTGCTTGTGACCACTTTCTTTTCTAAGCAAAAGCTAGAGAAGAAGATTAAGCAGTATAACAGCCAGCCCAGAGACTGGAGGTGAAAGCCCCCAGCAGAAAGTCTACCCTGGGGACATGAGAGCACAAAGCTCTCTGCTCTGCATATGTCTAGAGAAGAAGTCACTCAAGATACCAACATGACGAAAACACGAAGACTGGTGTAATTGAAAAGCAACCAACTTCTCTGGTGTTGCTGATTAACATGCATGTACTTGGTCCTTGTTTCCAACACCTCTTCAAGTAGAAAGGAAAACCGAGAAACTTGGCATGCTGTGAAGTAGCAGCTGGGGACCCGAGAAGCACAGAAGATGATGGCTAGACCAGATGTGTGGACCACAGCACTCTAGTTTCCTCCTTGCACTGTAAGGAGGTTTTTGTGTGCTGGGGCTGGGCAGCCACTGTCCAGGCAGGTCTCTGGTGTCCCATCAGGTATTGGAACAGGCTGCCCAGGGAAGTGGTGGAATCACCATCCCTGGAAGTGTACAAAAACTGTGTAAATGAGGCCCTTAGTGACATGGTTTAGCGGTGGACTTGGCAGTGTTGAGGGAACAGTTGGACTTAAACTAAGCTTGATCTTAAAGGTCTTTTCCAACCTTGTTGATTCTGTGATTCTATGATCCCATGGGAGTAATGTTCAGAGGAGAGCAGGTGGGCAGTGAGCATGCAGATAGCACAGACCAGGCGAGATCAACACTGCTGGGGTCTGAGGGGTCTCTCTGCAGTGGGGACAGAGCTGGCCCAGATTACCCACTTGGACAAGCACAGGAGAGTGGTGTGGCCTTGGCTGGGTCTCTGATGGCCCCTTAACATGTCTTGCAGACACTGTTTCACAAGCCTTTTATCCTCCTGCCTCTGCCTGAAGGTAGGGGCTGTAGTGTTCGGAGGTGTCAGTAGCAGAGCTTAGGGTGGGGGGAAGTTTTTGGGAGAATTTAGCAAAAGGAGTGAGGAGAGATCAGAAGAGGCTGATACCTGATGCGGACAGGTAGGACTGAGATCGACAGCCTCTTTTCTCTGCTTGACACATGTGGCTGGGGAGAGATAGCAAATGGGGAGGTTCAGTCCAGCTCCTGTAGCATCCTGTGGGCATGTGTGCCCCCTGCCCCTGGTCCGCTCTCCAGGAAGAGGGGCTAAGGGGGGATCGTGTGTCCCCCGCAGCCTATCCCATAGGCCCAGCGCTGCTGCTCTTGCAGGAATGGAGGGGGGCTGTGGGGATCAGGTGAGCAGGGCACGCTACTGAACAAGGCTAAGGCATGTGTGCCAAGCTGCAGAGGGATTTGGGAGAAATCTGCGCTTGCCCTAATCCAGAGGCTGGGCTGCTTTGCCCTTTGCTTTGCTAACAGAGTGCTCTCTGCAGAGCAGGAGGGAGAGGGGTAGGCAGACCTTCGGGGAGTACAAAACTGCCTTTCCTGCAGTCTGACAGGGTGCAGGAAAGGTGGGTTTCCCAGTGGGTATTTTTGGTTATTTTCACCCTGGCTCTGGAAGAACAGCGTGTCCTGTTCTTTCTGTCCTAGCAGCGTGTCAGTGTCTGGTTGAGCAATGACCACGTAATGCCAGTCCTGCGTTCTTCACAGGAGTGCTTATGAGTGACAGTGGGGCTCAGACTTGACTGACTTTTTTATTCTGAAGAGCCCTGGGTAGCCCGTGTTAATTCTTGTCATCTCTCTACTGTTTTGTGTCCTAAGCAGCATGCATGACCCAGCTCTGCAGGGATTGCGTCACTGCTGCAGCTCCCGTGTCTGCTCTGACCGCAGAGAGGACATGCAGTAATTGTCACTTGCTGTCCCTGTGCTTTAGGCACAGCTCATCCTTGCCCAGGAGCAGCTTTGTCCATTACGTGTTTCCATAATACCACTGGCAGCGTGGGATTACTTTATCTGTGTGAACTTCCCGGTGTCCTAGTTTGCTAAAAGGCAGTTCTGGTGTTGGTGGTTACGCAGTTGCTCTTCAATGACAGCAGGATTATGCTGCCATGTTCTTGCGTGTGTTTCTCCCATAATGTTGCTGGGGAGCACGAGGAGTTGAGCAAGCCGGCGTGGCTGAGCGATAGAGCTAACCTGCAGCAGCACTCCTCACTTCTCTCCTGCCTGCCGACAGGAATAGACCTCTCATTTTTCCTACCCCGTGTATTGGCTTTCATGCCATGCGTCTGCATTTCCCACTTGTCAAGGTAAGGCAGAGCTTTCGTCCCCCAGGGAGGGCCAGCTGCCCAGCAGCACTGCCTGCTGCCTGCCAGCGCCTCTGACTTACCCTGAGCTGCCTGCTCAGCAGTTTTCAAGCGAGGAGTCAGTGTTTCACATGCCTTTGTGACAGCCAGACACACCGTGGAAAACTAATCACCAACAGCTTCAGAGCCCATGTGTCACTGGACCGTGGCCCAAAGGGAACCTCAGCCCAGGACACTCCTGCTTCGTGTCCTGCACTATCCAAACCCAGTTTGTCTGTTCTTGTCTGAACGCTGCTTGGCATGGCTGGCCTCAGCAGGAGTTAGATGAGCAAAGACTAATCACTGCTGTCACACCGCTCTTAAAAGGGACTTTTGCTTGCTGCAGTGACAGTATTGTCAACCCCAGATCACAAATCTTGTTGGCAAATCATGAGATTAGTTGAAAACCATGGGGGTTTTTTTAATTAATTTGTATGGGTTTATTTGCTGTTTGATTTCCTTTATCATAAATTCTCAGTGTCTGGTTTTCAGGCTTTTCTTTCTCCAGCTGAGAGAGAAAAAACTGTGTAAATAAAGTGAGCAAACCCTTTTCTAACACCAGATCCTGATATCCTAGTAGGGCTGTTACGAAAGTATCATCGTTAACCTTGTATTATTTTAAATAACCGTATTAGCAGCTGCTATCTGCAAGCAGGGGCGACCGACAAATACCCTGCTTGTATATATTTAGTGTTTGGCGCTCTTCCCATCTCCAAGGGTCATGCTATTTAGGGAGAATATCCTCTTTCATGTATGTATGAAACAAAGGACAATACAGAGGAAGACTGAACTTGCTACAGAATAACCTAAGCCATAAACCCCATTTCTTCCACCGAGACTGCAAGAAGCTGTGCTTCTTCCTATTGTGCGGTTTCACTGGCTGTGGTAGCGAAACAGCGTGACTGCTGTAATGCATAGTGCAAGTTGTGATCCAGATGTGGAGATGGCAGGAGTCTGAGTTGGGAGGAAATGCTGGTGTTTGTAGCTGACAGAAACAGGGTCCCAGCATAGGACCTGATCCTGGAAAACTTGTCACCTGCTGCCATCTGCAAGTATTTTGCAGCACAGCATCTAATAGTCCAGTAATAACTTGTTACTAGTGATGGTGACCTGTTTGTATGGTCATTGTGTTAATCCTGTAGTCTGCTCTATCTGCTCCTGCATGTCTTGAATACTTGGCTCATCCAGAAAACCATTTTGTTTTCTCTCATTTTGAAGTTCACTGAATTAAGCAATTGTACAGTGACTATTTACACTGTCTTGAGGGAGCCCTCCTGCGTCTCCACACATTGCTCAAGCTGACCTGGTCTGAATGTGGATGCTGCTGGAGGAAGGTCTGTGTTCACTGAGAGAGGTTTAGGTAAAAACTGTGTGATTAACCTAAAAATCCTGAGATACTTAAAAAGTATATATAGGATCCTTCTGGCTTGTGTTTGTCAAGGGGTTTAGCTTGTCTTTCTGAGAATTGGATACTTGTGCAGTGGCAAGAACCAAGGGTTTTGAGCAAACTTAACACCCAGAGCTTTGAAACAAACATCCCTATGCAGGAGACCCAAGATACCTGTCAGTGCTGGCCAAGATAACTTACTTTTGTATATGTGCTGTTAGTGATTTTTATTACTGCCTAAAGCTCCCTATGACCAGAAGCTGCCTGTGTACTTACAGAAAAGCAGTTTTTAACTCCTGCCAGCAAGCAACATTTGAAGGCTGTGATCACTGGAGTGGAAAACCACTAGGGAAAAACCCAATTAAGCTTCCAGGTCTTTAAGTGGAAGTGCTGCTGTTCCCCAAGCTACATCTTTGTGGAGCTGTTTGAATTGCACACTTGCCCTCCCTCTGCAGCCCTGTCCATATCCCCAGTGTGCTTTGGTGAGGGAGGTTGGTACGGGGAGCTCTGATGAGCTGGTCTGGAGCCTGCTCCCAGTGGCTGAGCGGCTGCTCAGGAGTGAGAAGGGTTGTGTCAGCGCTCGTGCATGGTTCCCCCAGCTTTGGGCACTTTGGCAGAGGTGGTGTTTAAAGTGGCATAGTTGGAGTAGAGACTGTTTCTCATACCTGGGTTAGAGGTTGAGTATTTCTGGTTTATCTTCTGAATGTTTTCACCCTAATTTTAAGAATATGGGCAGGATGTGGCCAGTGGAAGAGGATCATAGACTCACAGAATGGTTTGGGTTGAAGGGACCTTAAAGTTCACCCAGTTCCAAGCCCCTGCCACGGGCAGGGACACCTTCCACTAGAGCAGGTTGCTCCAAGCCCCTGTGTCCAACCTGGCCTTGAACACTGCCAGGGATGGGGCAGCCACAGCTTCTCTGGGCACCCTGTGCCAGCACCTCAGCACCCTCACAGGGAAGAACTTCTTTGTAGTCTCTAATCTAAGTCTACCCTCCTTCAGTTTAGAACCATTACCCCTTGTCTTATCTCTATATGCCCTGTAAAAAGTCTCTCTCCAGGTTTCTTGTAGCCTCCCGTTAGTCACTGAAGCTGCTGTAAGGTCTCCCCGGAGCCTTCTCTTCTCCAGGCTGAACCAGCCCAGCTCTCTCAGCCTGTCTCCAGAGCAGAGCTGCTCCAGCCCTCGCAGTATCTCCGTGGCCTCCTCTGGACTTGCTCAACACCTCCATGTCCCTCTTGTGTTGGAGGCCCCAGACCTGGACACAGTAATCCAGGTGGGGTCTCACCAGAGTGGAGAAGAGGAGGAGAATCACCTCCCTCGATCTGTTGACTCCTTGAGTTGAAGGTGGATGTCTCTTTCCTTGCAGCTCCCCAGGCCTGTGGGCTGTGCTTGCCACAACCTGGCACCGAGGCGTCCAGCCAGGCTGTTATGAGGGTGTACACCACCGATGGCGTAGGCTGGTCACCTGCCTTCTGGTCTCATGAATTCGTGCTCAATGCCTGCATTAGAGTGTTGCTTCCAGAAGGTGCAGTCCCACCAGAGAGGTTCACATACAGTGGACTCCTGTGACCTTACAGCCTGGGGAGTGTTCACAGGAGCAGCTCCCCACAGCGCTCCAGGATGGGGAGAGAAGAAATCCCCTCCTTTCTCTCCAGGGAAGAGTTAAGGACAGCACAGCCAGAAAAGGAGGTGTATCCTCGGCCTAAGTTTAGCTGGAGTCGTGGAAGAACTTGCATTACAATATCAAGTCCCCAGAGTACCAGTCTGGCACAACGCTGCTACTCCTGCCGCCTTGCAGGAGCAGACGTGCCCCTTGGAGACACACATCCCATTGCCTTCAATGAGACCAGCAGCCTGGGCAAACATTTGGGTCATTGACTGCTTGAGGCCGTATTGACTGTGGTTTACGTATCCTTGTGGAGAGGGCACGAAACGCTTGGTTGTGGAGAGGTAGATGATACTTTGCTTTGTTTTCCTTTCTCAGCTGGTTGCATCGATTGTCTTCATCAGCTTTGGCGTCATTGCTGCGTTCTGCTGTGCCATAGTAGATGGTGTCTTTGCTGCCAGACACATAGTAAGTGCTTCCAGGAAAACATGCGTCCTGCGATGCTTTTGCTCGAGGAAAGCAAGTGATGGTGGCTGTAATCCTGTATCAGGCCACATCGGCGTCTGTGAATATACAGCATGTGCTGAATGCTGTTTTAAATCATAAACTTTAGGAGAATGTATCAGTTTTTAAAAGATATTTTGAAATTAGCAGCAAGCATTAAGATCTAAGAACTTTGCTTTAGGGTTTTTTGTGTATGCTTTATGTGTTTACTGAGGCTCAGAACTATAAGATGTAACGTGAATCACGGCTATTGCCAAGGGACAATATTTGAGCAGGTGCATCTATTGTATTTTAAATGTTAGCAGAGGTAGTTCTTAATGCTAACTGAACCACTGGATCTTGTTGTAGAATGAAGCAATTTGATATGAAGCTCATTAAACTGTTACAGTAGAAACAGGAAGCACTGCAGTAGGTTCTCAGTTTCCATTTCATGACTTGAAAAAATACAAGCTACTGCTGTCGTGACCAATCGCTAGTACAGTGGGATGTGCAAAAGCTTCAGTTATAGTTAAAAAGAAGTTTTAATATAGTAAATATAGAAGTTGAAAAACACAATTCCATTTCAACTGTTTAATTGAAACTTACACCTGCAGACAGATTTTTGTCTTGCAGCTCTGCAGTTTGATGTCTTTTTTGTTTAAATTCTTGGCAAAATGGGATGAAAAAGGCAGATTTTGGGGTTTATTTGTGATCAGGATGGAAGGGAATTTCAGAAGGTTAGAATTACCCTTGCAGTGGAAACTCCTGATGTCAGCTGGCTCATTATTCTTGTAAAGCTGGCTCTGCTTTCCTGCCTCTGAGTGTTCCAGTGGTAGAAAGACGACAGCTGGACCAGCAGGATTTGCTGACAGAGCAAAGGGCAGCTCTGCTCAGCTGCGTGATAGGTCTCTGTCTGTCTGGATGCAACCATCAAGTCTTGGGCCACCTCTGACCCCTGGTGTGAGGACGTGTGAAGCATTAGCTTTGATAGAAAGGTGAAGCTCCGTTGACTCCTGGTCCTGGCCAGGTGGGTCTGAGCCCTGCAGACTGGCTCTGGGGTTTTTAGGTGCTGACCTCATGGGTTGGGTGATGGCATGAGCTGGCACCTCCTCCCGGCTGGCCGCGGGGATGTCTGCATACCTGAGGCAGCCAGACCCAAGCAGCTGGGATGACAAGGGCTCTGGTTTCTGCCTCTTGATGAACGGACGTGCTTTTGGCCTCACTTTACCCCTTAACAGTCCAAAAATGTCACTGTCTGTCTGGAGACATGCTCCTGCCACACTGGCACATAGCGTTCTCCCTGCCGCTGCCCTGCCACCCTGAGCTTTGGATCAGCTCCACAGAGAGCAAGTCTGGCTGCTCCTGGGCAGGTCTCCCTGGTGCGGATACACATCCAGCATTGCTTTCCCTGAGGTTTCACCCTGGGGACCAGACTGCCCCAAAGTAAGACGCTAATGCATGTTTACAGGCTGAGCCATTGGTAATCTTCCAGAGCTTTCCCACAAGTCAAGAGCCCAAAAGACAAATTTGTCATCAATTTAATGAGAAGTTGTTATGATTCAGCATGAAGAACCCTCAGAAACACATCAGGCAGCCCTAGGATGTGTCTGGGAGGGGGATGAGGAATGAATCATTCAGGTTGGGGTGGTTGGCCTCACCCAAATGAGCCTGGCTTAATAGCCTGTGCCTCCCATGCTAACTGCAACAAATACCTGCCTCCAAGGACCAGGGTTCAACAACATCTGGGGCTCAGAGGGGCTGGGTGGGGGGCTGCTCGTGCGTGGATGTTGCAGAACACCACTGTATCGAGGTGCTGGTGTGAGAGCAGGGTCTCTCTAAAGCCTTTCCCCACACCAGCGAGCTGGGTTTGATTTTGATGCAATGCTAAGCCTGGTGTTCTGTCGTCGGCAGGATCTGAGGCCGCTGTATGCAGGGCGATGTCAATACTACTCCAAGAGCACGACCCCACCAGAGGTGAGAGCAGGTTTGGCTGTGCTGTCTCCATGAAGGCATGGGGGCGATAGGAAAACAGAACAGTTTCTCTAGTTCTTCAGCTGCACATTCATTACAGGAGCAGAGTGGTGGGTTAAGAGTTCAGACAGCAGTAATTTTGGTGGATACAAACAATACGTAACAGCCTCTGCACTTCTGCTGACTAGTGTCTTCTTCAAAGAGAACCCCATTGGGGATGGCTGTTCCTGACACACACTGATGGTGTGTGGACATCCTTGGCTGCCTTTGCTGTTCACTGAGAATCTCTCAGATCTCCTCACAAGTTCCCAAGTAGTTTTGAATAACCACTGTATTCCAAATTAAAATGCAAAGTAAGTGCTACCCAGTGGCATTGGTGGGGTCCATTCTCTTTTCAGCCCAAAAACCATCCATGTGAGCTTGGGTGTTACTACCCACAGGCAGACAGTTAACCACATTAGTCAGTTGCTCACCAGTATGGGAATCTTGCTGTCAGACTGTATCATGCTATTGACAACACTTTGCTCTGAGTTTCTGTGTGGTGAAGAGTGTTAGTTCAGCGAGGTCTTGGCTACTTGTAGAAGAGTTGCATAACCCCCTTCCTATGTAGGCATGTGCTTATCTATGACTTCCCCATAGTGAAAGGAAGTGCTGGTCTGTTCTAGTCTAGTGTGTCTTTATTCCAGTATAACTGTGTACTTTGTAGGAACTGTGCTACAAGATAAGGGAAGAAAAATCTTCCTGGAGATCAGCATAAACTCTGCATGCAGAGCAGGCCAGACAGCACTAGAAACCATGTTTGGTGATTATGTCCTTATGTGCTGTATGTGTTTTCTCTGTGTTCACACAGGCAATCTGTCACCCGCAGCGCCGTGCACCTTGCACACCGAAAATAAAAACCAACACCTGCTTCTGCTGTGACCTGTACAACTGTGGAAAGTGAGTGAGCTAAAAATACCATGGCTGGCCGTGGGGAGGGCGAGCGGTGGCCGGGCTGGTCTGCAGTGTGTGAAGGGCCAGGACAGGGAGGAACAAGATACCAGTTAATGACAGCTGCTGTGGGAAGGGATCCTGAGCTGGGGTTGCTGGCCACAAGAGTTCCAGGCAACAAGTAACCAAGGAAAAGGATATATGAAATACATCACTAAAGCCATCCCAGCTATGGGTGAGCTCCAGGCCAGCCCAGATGGAAAAATAAAGAGGGCAGGATTTTCCATTACTTCCATGCTTGGTGCCTTCCCCACATTTTCCCCTACTGAGTGTCCCTTGTTTGGGGAGTTTTATTTGTTTTAGAAGATTGAAGATGTACAAACTGGGACACTGTGCTTCCTCGCCTTGTCACCATTTCATTCCACACCCTGCTAACAGAGGAGAATTTGCAGGCTGGTACCACGTGCCTGTCATAAATCAGTGTCCTCTCTGCCCAGTGACTATCTTGCATGGTCCCAGGAGGTTGGAAGGTGTACCAGCCCTGTGCAAAGATGAGTCAGAAGGGTGGTTACCAATCGAGAACCCCTGCATAGTCATCACACCACCATTAGATCTGGCTACTGTGCCTAAGCCAACTTAATTTACAGCATGCACTGCTTGTATCATTTGGAGAGTGTAATGTGTGTCATCAAGCAATTAATAAATTGATTTTTTTAATGCTGGCTCTTGCCTAGGGCTGTTTCAGGCTTAGTGTTTCACACAGTACTTAGTTGGACTGGCCCCCATTTAAATTATTGGCGGTGGTGAAGGAAGATCAAAAGCTGCTGTTGGAGAGGATGGTTCCGCATGCTGGAAAGGGTAATCCCTGGTTCCTGCAGGACTTTGTTTCTGTGAAAGCTTTTGCAGAGGGGTGAAGCTCACACTTTCCTTTGACAGTTTACAGAACAATCCCATTTTACTAGCTGAAGAGAGCGATACACAGGGAAATGATTGGAATAGAAGAACTTGTAACTTTTGTGTGTTTGCTTTTTTATTTTCCTATGCTGTTGGGGTTTTTTCCTCCAATCAGGCTGGGTCAGGGTCCTACCTCTTACCCATTTTCCCCTAAGATACTAGTTGTTACCACCTCAACCTTGCCCAGTAGCATGTGTTCTGCACTGAGAATTCTTTTGAGATCTCGATGAGAAAAGCACAGACACTCAAGGTTAGCTCACAGATTATGTAAAGATGGACATTATAGAAAAAGTGGTAGCAATCTTGCATCCCTCCTGGTGCTGAGAACCCTGGCTATGGCAGCAGTGGGCCAGCCCCTTCCCATTGAGAAGTACATGCTGTACGTATCTTGAAATGCTGAATGTACTTCATGGTAAACCAAGACTTGCTGAAAGCTTTACAGTCTCACACATCTCCATAGGAATGAGCTCCTGCAAACAATACATACAGGCTGCATTGTTAAAGGCAGTCACAGTATGTGCTCAGGTTATACAGAGGTCATGCAGGCTAACATGCAGATTTTTACAATCTGGTTACGCTCCGCCTCGATTCTGCTTGAAATCCCTGTCTCCTTGTTGCAATGTCTTCTGCCATTGCCTGCTACAAGGGTAAGGGAAAAAGGAAAAGAAGAAACAGAAATCGAGTTATGAGGGAAGGAGGGTGGCTTATGAAAGGGGGCAGGTTCCTGCAGCCCTTGCAGAGTCTGCTTAAGAACTGAGCCTGTATTTCCTGCTTCTTGGCCTTAAATGTAAGTCTGTTCTTCTCCATTTGAGGCCCTTGTGCCGTTTGAGCCTAACCCCATATGTGAGCTCAGAGATAAGTCATTCATAAGCCCTTGTATTGTTTATCCCTGGTAAACATGTTTTCTTAAGGGGAATTTGCTGTAGCCCACTCCATCTGGTAAGCGACCTGAAGGCCACCCTGTTCCCTGAGTAACAGAAGTCATTACTGAAGAATTCCACCTGCAAGACTTCAGGCCACATGTTGCAGGAGCTGCTCTTCCCTTTCCAAAGTAATGACCTAAGTGGGTTTGAACGAGTCTTCTCCATCTCTTTTGTGCATGTGGAAAAGCTTAAAAATGTGAACAGAAGGATCTCTGTCTGCCAGCCTGTGCCACTGTGGAGCTGCAAAGGGCAGCTGAGTTGGCCATGCTTTATGGTGCTGTGCTGTCCTGTGCCCGTCCCACCCAGCCGCTCCTGCCTGTGAGGAGCACAGACTGATTTCCCTGGGTAATTAATTCCAAGACCAGTTTGTCCTTGGGAAGCCTCCCAAGGCTCTATGGAGATTTCACATGATAGAAATAAGGCAGATTCAGACTCAAGGTCATTTGGGTATTCGCAGACCTTGCAGGACTTGTTTGTTTCACAACGGATCAAACCATCTTCTGCCATTGTCATGCAGGGAGATCTCAGATGCCACAAGCATGAGATGTAGCAGGCTGTAGTTAGGTCCAGGCCATCATTAAATTGCAGAATGAATTTTACTGTCCAGCAAAGTGTTTAGGTTTTATGATCTGTTGCATTGTTTTATCTTTATCGTTGGGTTTCTTTTCTAATTTAGCAGGGTGGAGATTTCTGGAGGCTACTATGAATACATTGATGTCAGCAGCTGCCAGGACATCATCCATCTTTACCACTTGCTTTGGTCAGCAACGATTCTGAACATAGTGGGGCTGTTCCTAGGGATCATCACAGCAGCGATACTTGGAGGATTTAAAGACATGGTAAGATGGTAACAATTTCTTTGTGCATTAAACAACACATCAGGCAAATTGCCTTTTAAAACTAATTGGTGGTATTTCAGTGCAGATGATCACTGCAATCAGGCTGAAAAGAAGGACATGAAATAACTTTAAGGAGAAACTGGAAGTTATTTACTTTTCTGATCTGGTGTCACCACCTAAAGACAATTAGGAAAGATAAACAAAATTGGGAGACTGTATTTTCTTAAGGAACTTTCTCACAGGTGTTGGCAATACCAGGATGAATAAAAGTAAGCTCTTTGTTAAAAATCAATCTTCCTTTTCATAGCACTGACCTTCTACAAGGAAATGTGTGGTGGTTGCTCATGAATTGTTGATTCTATAGCAGTATTTGGGTTCTGAGCTTTACAGAGTGCTTAAGCAGCCATGTTAGGCTGAAACTCTCCATCTGGTTTCTTCATGGTGCAGAACCTGATGAACTGGAGACCAGAACCAGGTGAAAGATTGCAAACTTAATGAAAAAAAAATGCTGTTCTTACAACATGAGCTTTGAAATATCCTCACTTAACCTGACTGCCTGTTACCTTCCATACAGTTTTGTCTTCAGAAGACAAACCCATGGGCAGAACTGTACATTCAGTAGATAAATTTGGGTTGCTTTCCTCCCCTGCCCCCCCAATCTCTTGTGACTCCTTCAGAATAATACAAAATGAGACACTTGGGAAAGAGCATTTGTTCTCCTAGCAATACATTATTTTACAAACAGATGTTGGGCCCTGCACTAGGGGTGCCTTATTTCAGAACTTTCCTACAGTCTTCACAGACCTTCACTCACTAAGATCTTCCCAAACAAAACAGGGGACATATTCCCAGCTATGCATTGTGACCTTTGAGATTTGATCCACACCAGGCAGCCTGTAAACCTCTGCAGAAAGATGTATAGGAGTGCCTGTGAACAGCAGCAGTGCAAGAGGAGCTGAAATATGCACTGAATAATAGAGTAATCAAAATGAATGGATTCTTTCTCCTACTTGTGAAGATGCAATCTGAACAGCACTGGTGTGGGCTGGGCTGCTGCCAGCTCGTTCTGTGGGATCTGAGAGGAAACAATAGGTGGCTGAGGAATGAAGTGACCTTGAGACTTACCTGCTGCCTAATAGGGAACTGGATTGCTAGTTGTTAATTCAACAGAGTTAAGCTCTAGAGCCAAACAGTGCACCTTTAAATCATTTCTGCTTTCATTCAGCAGTCAGCTTTCTGTGACCTGGTTAAATAGCCTGAGATTCTCTTCCTTTTGTTTTAACAGACTCCTTCCCTCCCTACGCTGAACTGTACGGTTGAAAATGCACACCCTTCGGTGTCCTACTACTCAAGGCCACAAGTGACATCTTACAACACCTACTACCACAGCACTCCTCACTTGCCTCCCTACTCCGCATACGACTTCCAGGTAGGGAACGTTACAGGATGTTTTCTTGTTCAACAGCAAGGTTAAATCCAGCCAGTCTGCAGCACTCTGGAGGCCTGTCTTCCTGTCATTCACACAGTTTAATTTTCCTCTTCCTGCAGAGAATACCAAATCTTTCCTGCTAGGCACTAGTCCGTGGCAGTGCCCTCTTACAAAGGCAGTGTTTTCCTGAAAGCTGTCCTTGAAGAGAAGGCAACAGAGCTTGCTGCCTGTCTCCCCCATTGTTCAGAGGCCACATTAAAAATAGGCATTGCCTCTGGCACTGCAGTGCTCAGAGGATAGAGGCAAAGTGAGGTGTTCAGTTGCTAGTTTTTATTAGGCCAGCTGCTAAGTCTGAGAGGAACAGACGAGCTTTTGGAAACAAGCTGTTTGAGCTCCTGAAGACATATACAGACTGAAAAGCTATTCGGTCATGGATTTTTTCCATATGCTTCAGCTGGTCTAAGAATGGTCCCTGCAGACATCACCTCTGCTCTAACACATCCCTTCCTCTTCTGAGTTATGGAGCTGTGCTGTTGGTAGTGTGTGATTTCACGTGAACCTTCCTGTCAACATCAGCTTTCACTTGTTGAAGCAGATGAGGACACTTCCTCCTCAGCTTTTCTGTCAAGTGGACGTTACCACAGTGGTGATGTTAACTGTCATGGTTTAAACCAGGGATCTGGCCTTTCCGGGTGACTCCCCTCAGTTTCTATACTGGGTGTGACGTGGTGTGCTATGGAATAGCCCTTTGGCCAGTTGGGGTCAGGTGTCCTGTCTCTGCTTCCTTCCGGCTTCTTGTGTCCCTCCTCACTGGCAGAGCATGAGACTGAACAGTCCTTGATGAGGGTAAACGTTACTGAGCAACAACTAAAACATCAGTGTGTTATCAGCGTTGCTCTCAGGCTAAAGCCAAAGCACAGCACTGCACCAGATACTAGGAAGAAAATTATCCCAGCTGAAACCAGGACATTAACTTAACATATCATATGTTTTCCTTGCAGCCATCAGGGCTGCAGACTTATTTTATAGCAAAAGATTAAGGTCTTAGACACCAACTTAGAGGTTTGCTCTGTGATAGCCACCATTCCCCTCATCAGAGCCATGCATTAGAGGTAACGTGAATCTAGACCTTCCCGGTTTTATTGCTAGTGCCATTAGACAATACTGTTGTCAGGGCCTCCTAGAAGCGTCTGAACACTTACAGCAGAATTTCTAGAGTTATTTACACATATTTGTGAGTAATTTTTTATATTAACACAACCTGGGACAGTCACTAGTGGTGTGTTAACTTTTTACAGTTATAAAAATGCCAACCTCAGCGCACACCAAACCAGCTCTGCTGCGAAGTCCTCTGCTCAGCTGCTCAGCTGGTATTAAGTGCTGTTTAACTCAGCGTTTATTTGCAGTGCAGCCACACTACCAGCAGAGAGCTCAGCCTGGGTGGATTTGCCCTGCTTTTCAACCAGAAGTACTGCTGGGGCTCTGCTAACGCTTACAGCATGGCCAGATGGATGAAAGTCTCTCCGTGTCTCACTGCTGTGAGCACAGGTGTTGGCTTAGGAGCCAGCACAAAAGCAGGGCATAAATCGAGGTAATTTAAACTTAAAATAGCCAACTCTCTTTCAAATTCAATTACAAGTCTGAGCATTGCTTTTCTTCCAGGGAGCTTGAGAGCCTGCATGAAAGCATTAGCTGAAGCCTCTGGCTGTGGAGACTTTCCTTGCCTTGAGCAAGAGCAAGTTGCTCTAGATTACTACATACTGGTGTTACAGATACCCTGACCCCAGCAGTGTCTGCACCATCCTGCCACCTTCTCCCTGGCCATCCTGCAGCACACAGAGCAAGCCCAGCCTTGCCTCGCAAATCCCTTTCAAAGGCTGCACCACCTCTGGAGCAAGAATGGGCGAAGTTGGTGCTTCCCTCATCCCACATACTCATAGGAAAAACACTCCAACACTCCAGAATTTCTAAGGAAGCTTGTGCCCCTGCAAGAGCCCAGGGCTTGATGGAAGAGCTGTTGCGTTGTTTGAAATGGGGACAGATTGTATGGCTTTCTCTGAGGTCCTCTGTCACGTGAAAGGGGGAGGTTTTCTCAACCCCAGTGGTTGATCTGAAAGCTGAGACCCTTGTGCCCAACCAGGCTGTCAATGTCCTGTTACAGGGACCCTTCACTGAACTGTCCCACTGGATTGGAGGGCGATTCGACTGACTTGCTCAGGGAATCACACCAACAGCATAAGAGGGACCCCTCAGTGGTCTGCCCGCTGTTGATTTGAATACGTTACCTGCTGCCAGCGACTACTAGTGACCACAAAGGACCAGCACTAACAGTTTATGGAATAACACTCTTTACTAATATAAAATCGTGACAAATTAGGGTTCGTGGATTGCCAGTGATAATATCTGATTGCTAGAACATATTTAAAGCAGTATACAGACATGCTCTAATCTCCAGTAAAAGTGTTCAGCATGCCTAGAGTGTAAATCTTGTCCAGTAGGCATCCCTATGGGGGAGAAGACAGGTTCAACCCATTGACTGATGCCAGTAGTTACACTGGAGTCTTCCCTGACTCTTCCCCCACCCTCAGCTTACTTTTATACTGTTTCTTTATGCTTAAGTGAAGCTTGAGTGATTCTAGTCATCCATTCTTTTATTATTGATGGGTGTAAAATTCTCCTACTTCTCATTTGAAGATAAAGCTGACAAAAAATACAAAGCGCATGCTTGGTGAGGGGTGGTCATGCATTGGAGGCAGGTAACTTTGGGATGGAGGTGTGCATTAGTATTATAATAAGATTATAATGAGCAAGCTTCACCTAAGGGAAGTGATTTTGCCACAGTTGCTGGCTCAGGAACAGACTTGTCTTATATTTCCCATTTGACAGCTGCTATGTGGCTTATCAGCTCTATGGTACCATCAAGCTCCTGCTCCTGCAGGGAGTACAGCAGAGCCTGGCGGTGCTGTCTCCACTCTGCTCCACCCTCCATTGCTCCTATAGGATAGCAGGTTGTGTTGCCTAGGGAACCATGGTGGAGTAGATTCCATGCATGCCAACTGTCAGGCATGTACAGATTTTGTTTCTGCACCTTTTCAAGCTTTATACTTACTGAAAGAGCAAGTTGGTTTAGTTTCTAGCAGGTTTTATTTGTGATTAAGAGGAAGAAGTAGTATAAAAAGAAATTATCTGCAGCCTGTTCCTTGTTGGTACTGGCTGATGAGTGAAACCCAAGATTTGAGAGCAGCAGCTCATCAGTTTCCTATTGTCCAGCCTCTGTGAAATGCAGCAGGTACACATAAGTGATGAGAAAACAATTTTTCTTTGTTTTGTTGTTTTTAAATGCCTTCTTCAGTCTCGGAGTCTCATTATGCAAAACCTTACTTACAGGCTGTGCTTACCTTGAATGCAGCAAGTTATTTGAAAACTTATTTGTACGTGTACACGCGTTTTGCTGAAGTGAGCCTTGAAGTGTTAATTTTGCACTGCTTGGTGGGGAAGTATTGCTTTGCCAGGGTCCCTTACATGAGGAAGTGGTTACATTACAGCTTTCTTGCTGTCTCCCTGCAGCATTCCAGTGTGTTTCCAGCCTCCACTCCTTCTGGCCTCTCTGATGACCCCCAGTCAATGTCGCCATCTCCCAGCTATATGTGGTCCTCCAATGCGCCACCTCGTTACTCGCCTCCGTATTTCCCACCTTTTGAAAAGCCACCACCTTATACACCATAGGGAACGTCGGAAAGAAGAAAAAATGTTTGCCATTGAAATAATTGTGAACATTTTGTATTTATATTTTACTGTGGGAGGGAGCAGGAGGGGTAGATACAGAGGATAATTGCAAATACAAATATTAGATTGGATTTCTCTTTCTTGCGAGGCTTATTTCAGGGGTTTAACAATGGAATATGAGGAAGGAGACATACTGCTGATGTTTTGCAGTGTCGGTGAGTAGTGAGTGACCTAAATTCCAGCCTCCTTGTTTTACCACGAGGTTCATGTAGTCCTTGGTTTTTAATAAAGTAATACAACACAGAAGATAGGTTCTGGTCTGCCTTACTCCATCTTGTGCCAAGCTGAAGTAAAGGTAGCCAAGATTGGTAGTTGCCAGAGAGTGTCAATCTATCTGTTTAAGGTGAGGGTGCTTGCAGACAGCTCAACTTGATGCTTGTTTTGTTTGGCCTTGGGGCTCCAGTTGCTGAGATTTTTTGGGGCCACAGAACGTAGCTCACATCACTTGCTGGTTTAGGGCCTACACACTGGAAAAATCCTGGGATGAACCACAACAGTGTCTCAAACTTTAACACTAATGAAGAGAGATACATCACAGGATATTTTAGTGTATGTCTAGCAAAACTGTTGGAATATTGCTTTTTTTTTTTTTTGAGGGAAAAAGATTTAATAGGCAAGCTGGTTTTATTTCAGGATGCTTCTTAAGATGGAAAGTGAGATGGACTTACCTTTCTCTGAATACTCTGTAAGTTAATGCTGAAGTCAAATGGTTTGAGTGGTTGCACTGCCTAAATCTTCCTTTTATTCCTATAAAGAGCATTAGGAACCGTCCACAAGTCACTGAAACAGTGCAATGAAAACATTATTCCCCTCCCCCCCTTCTGTTTGGTTGGGATTTTTTTTCAAGCTCGCACTTTTAACTTTTCTAATGGACTGAATCAGCACCTTGAATAAGCACTGGTTTAGTAGCTGTCTTAACAGGCTGCACATACGGAATATCCACCACTAGTTGTCCAGGATGGAAGTCTCACATGGATAAATTTCAACACCCTGTAATATAGGATGAAACTGATAGGAATTTTCAATTATTGTTGTGACTTTAATTTAATCTTCAGCTGCTGACTTTGCTGATTGATCTAGATTCCAACAGACGTTGCATGCATCCTGCATAACAAAAGAAGGTCAGCTTTGTTATGTGACACACTGTCCTGTAAAGTGTGGTTCTACTCCAGGAAGTGATTTCAGATGACAGCGTTCAGATCTGAGCTGCTCAACCTGAGCATTCTCAACCACTTACTTCAGGGATAAAAATAAGGTATTGATGTTTTTATTCCTTATTTCCTATTAACAATTTCCTTGGCATCAGATTGTTGACCCTAACCCACAGTTGTCTACCTTTACTTTCAACTGATGGGGACAAAAAGGTACCTAAAATCTAAACCTGGCTTTCGGAATCTAAAAGAGGAACACACGCTGGGGGGGGGGGGGGGGGGGGGTGGGGGGGGGGGGAACGCGCGGGGGGGGGGGGGGTGGGGTGGTGGTGGTGGTGGTGGATTTTAAACTGTGGCATCTACTTCTAATGTAGAAAGAAAAAGTGAAATACTGTCAACATGGAAAATGAAAACTGAAGTCTCTGATCTCACTTTTCAAAGTACACCCACACTTTGTAATGCTGGTTTTATTTGCAAAGCCTTCAGGCTGGGCTATATGTTAACCTTATCATTTCCACTGTCAAGTAACAATCAGTATATTAATAAGCTAAAGGATGATAAAGTTTATCCAGAAGCAAGTGTAATTTTTCTTCAGTAACAAAGAAAAATGAACAGCTGGAGAAAGGAATACAACTCAAGGGATTTAAAGCAGTAGTGTATGCAGAACATATCCTGGTGACATTTTGTTTTACTATAGATTATCAAAGTGCAGCTCCTATAAATTTGCGTACCGGAAATAAATTTATATCCTAGGGCATCATCCATTTTATATTACATTTTCATGAATTAAATCTTGATAAAGAGATCATGGGCAATTTCAAAATTGTACAGTATTTCTGATAAAACTCCCCACGAAACTAGAATCAGAAGGGCACAATAATCTAACACCAGAAAACATTTATTGCTGCATCTCTGGAATGAAAGCTAACAGTCCTGTCCCACTTCTGACTAACGTACTCTACCATTTGTGCCTGTCAGTGAAATAGGGCTAGAAGGACTGGGGGACACGACAGGACAGGACTAAGAAAGCCATGAGGGGAACATAACTTAGTGGCAGAGAAACAATGAGGAAATGATTGTATGATTAGTTTTGGGTTGGCAGATATTAAACTGAGGAAATTATCCAAATTCTCACTTTTTTTTCTAAGGAATATTGAAGCAAAAATTACATTGCTGCTTTAAATTCACTGTAAAAGGCCAAGTCCATTTTCACATTTAAAATAATTACCAATGGGATTTTCAGTTGAATTACCCGTTTCCTTCTGCTTGAGTAAAACTGTTTAATGTAAATGCAACATTCTGCACTGTATTCATCATTTCTTATGAGAATGTCAAGATCGTGACTCATGTACCCTTTTATTACTTTACCAAAGTTAAATAAAATTGTGTGACTTTTGTAAACATTTATAAATTGCATGTTACATTTCAGCAGCTTTCCTGGTTTACAAGCATCTTGAATGTTCGTTGAGGAATTCCAATATAATAGCATTGTGCATTAAATAAAAAGAAACACAAAACCCCAAAACCCATCCCTCCAAAAAAAACCCCCATACCTGTATTTGCTGTATTGGGAACCAGTGTTTCTACCAGGATTAGCTAGAGACACCTTTTTAAGTTCTGTTTTTAAATGCTCCAGATCCTCCCACACTTCATAATTCTGCAGTTCTACCCACATAACAGAGTGCTCTAACTTCAGTCACTGATTTGTCAGTGCTGCTGCTTTTTTGCTTAATACAGAGGCAAATAACCCAGGCAGTGCTTACTTTCATGTTTACTATATTACTTTGGGACTAATTCTGCCCTGATGCTGTCAGCTGCTCTTTAATGTTAGCAGAAGTAGGTGGAAGCCCTATGACAAGGAGATAAAAGCATATAAACAATCATTTGATATGTTACGTATTAAATTGCATTCCTTACCTGTAATAAGATGTCTACATAAAGTAACTACATTTTCTGCACATTGGCCATAGTTCACCAACAATCTAACTCTTCCTAATCCGCAACCTGGTAAGAGGAGCCCTAACCATGAGTTAGCTGAAATACAGTGTACTGGTCACTGTATGTATATATATATGTAAAAATATAAATATATATATGAATATACTATGTATGTTCTTTTTGATTTCTAGCCCATTTGCAATGACAGTAGTACTTGAACAGACTGTTCCACAGCAGCTCCAGCTATTCTGAGAGTAAGTATGTATCATAACATTCAGCTTACAATACACAGTGGAGTTTTTCAGCTAATTTGCTTTCTTGGAAAGTGTTCAATCCCCCCAAAACCAAACCAAACCCCAAAACTAAACCAACCAACAAAAATCCCCAACCAACCAACGAAAAACTCATGCCCCAAATACAAACACCTTCCCTCCCACCCCTGAGTTCCCTGCTATTCCCTGGAAAAGGAAGCTACAAACTACTGGTAATCCAACGTTACACTGTAGAAGTTGTCATTCAAAAGAAACATGTTACACCCATCTTTAGAATTAAAGGGTTTTTATTATTTTGCCATAGAAAGCTCTAAGAACTAATATCAAGTTTTGATTAATGAAAAGAAGAACACAACTTTAAAAAGTATGTAAAGGAAAGACTGTACAACTATATACATTACAGATCTGGCAAAAATGATAAAATGATTCACATGGAACAGTTCCTAGGCAATAACTCTAGAACTTGATGTTCAATGTATATAGTTGTCAGCTTCTGCATCTTTTTATATGCTGCATGCCTTAACAGTACAAAATAAATAAGCAGTCAATTGTTATCTCAATGTTTAATTCATGTACTGGAATGCTATGGTACAAATCCCCACAGAAACCACATGGTCAGGATGCAGCCACCATTACTATATTTTGCAGCAGACCCTTTAATGTTTTTATACGTATATAAGTGACAGTGAGGTTTGCTATCATAGTCTGATCTATATTTTAAATTTAATATAAATGCTTTTTCAGATTCAATCTTTTTCTTTTGTTACCCCAAAGCCAATTTCTTAATATTTACACACAGTTTTTCATTAAGTTAAAGCGGAAGCTAAGTGTTTACAAAACAACCAACCAGAACAAGTGTAAGTGCAATAGCCAGAAATCTAAATATAAAAGCTCATGGCCCCAAGAAAGTTTTAAACAAACGGATTTAACATGTTTCCAAACCAATAAATACTGGAAGTGAAATTAAAAAAATGTTTTACATAATCTCTGGACTTTGGATATCAAAAATCACTTCCAAGGAAAACCGAAGACCCTGAGACACATGCAAGCACGAGTCTTCTAGCAAAAATAGTTACACAGCCCTAATGTTCCAGTTTTCCTCCAAAAAGAGACCTTTACTAGGCACAGTTTAAGGTTTTAAATATATCAGCAGCAAATATTGATAGCTGTTACGTTTAGTTATTACTGAATGGACACTTTGCAATGTATGCTTAATTCCAGATGTATCATGTCAATAACAAAAATAACATTGTGTCTATCTTGTCAAAAAGTTCAGGAAGTCTCCATAAAGCCCGCAGCCAGCTACGTCAGAGCTACTTGTGCTAGAGCAGGCAACCAGAACTTGCACCTTGTGAGGACGTTGCTGAAATGCCATCTCGGGTAACATCCAACCTGCAGCATTTGAAAGCATACCCCATTATATGCACAGGGGTCTGCAACATGATCTGGAAATAATCATGTATATCATGCTCTTGGCCTACAACATTTAAGTCCTGAGCATTACGTGCATAAGGTAAACAAATCATCGTTTCTCACATTGTTCCTCATAGAGATTTCTGGTACCCTTTTTTTATAGCTCAAGTTGTATTTGACCCATTTACCATTTAAGTGCTATCCTGTCTAGAGTGCTACACGCCTAAAACCTTGATAGAACCAAGATGCTTACTTAAAACGTGAAAAAGAAAAACCTTTAAGTGTAATTTAAGCAACAAAAGCTTATGATAACTAATACTATGCACAACAATCCTCAGTCATCTCTAGAACTTGAGCCATTTTCATGTTACCATTTACAAAAATATCACAAGTCACTAAATCTGAAATGCTAAACTATGACTCCAGTAAATAGCTGTTTGTTTTT